ATTGAGAAACTCTTGTCTTTTAGTCAGTCAAGATTCCGTTATTTTGAGAATTGAATGGGGAATCTTTTGAGAAAAAGGCGAGGTCTGAGCAATAAAAACTGCATGAGATATTCACGAAATACTGAGACCACTATTCTTTATGGGCCACCCGTTAATTATGCGTCCACTTTGCCATTTTGTTATTTCTGTTTCATAAAAGCTGAAAGGCTAAGAATGGCTGTGCTACATAGAGAACATTAAACAAATCAAATCAAATCAAATCAAATCAAATCAAATCAAATTTATTTTATGGCAAAAATCAAGATTAAAATCACCTTTTTACATGTTGAAATGGTGAAAGGTGATTTTAATCTTGATTTTTCCGTAAAATTTTTCACCTTAACAAGGAATCGAATTTATTTTTACCATAGATGTGATAAGATAGAGACAGATAGAACACAATGCTGTTATAAACTCAGTGGTAGATTAGAGCACTGAAGCATAGCACACGAAGTACGTGTGTGTAGCGGCAGAATAGAAACAAAGATACGCGTGCACACATTAAAACAAGATGTCCATTGATAAGTCGTCCAACAAGCAGACGCATGTTGATCGGAAAGCGCATGCGAACATCGAGACTTTTGAAATCGAAGAACAAGAAGGTGGTAACAACGTTATCACACTTGATGGTCAGACCATTAACAACAGGCCTGGAAATGAGCAGGTGTGTTTTTACGACTTCGTTGTTCATTAAAGTTTTATGACGTTACATCTCATGGTCAAAACGTACACACATGTTGTTGTCGAGTTCTAACAGGGCATAGAGGGCGAACAGGAGAGAATGATGATAAGCGATGGGGATAAAGTTTTGAAACTCACCAGGACGATGTGTCGGAATGACGCACTGGAATTCACCTTTACGCTTTCGATGATTTCTTAATGGTGCTTAGTTACCAATAACTACTCATCTTTGTCGCTACTGAAAAATAATTGTTCTTTGATTTTTAAGCGTCGAGGCTCATCCAAAAATCAGAAGAAGGTGAAAGGTCATAAAAAGCAAAGCCGAGTGGTGGTGAACGATGACGACGTTCGGAGCAAAGAAACAGCAATTACACCCGATGATGGAGAGATGACTGACCGACGACAAGTAACGAACAACTACGAGATCAAGAGTGATTTACCACGCACGTTTGACAGACTGCATCTAAACCTGAATGGAGAAGAAACAATTGACCAGAGACAAGTGACACTAGCAGCGGAGGATGATGATAACACAACTGGCTACTCTATCAATCAAAATTATCGAGTCCTAGATGCTTTTACTGGAGAACAAAATCTGACAGCTTTTTTTCAACGATACATGATCACCGATATCCAAATGAACCTTAGTCCTATTGTGGGATATGCCGAAGAGCATTTGTTGCCACTTTCCAAAGCATGTGTTCCGCTGACCAACATCATCCACGATTTATCAGTATACGTTCAAATGGCACTCGATGAAACCCCAGACGACCCACCCGACGGACTGACGATCGATGAGAGCGCTGCAATTCGCCTCTACACGATCGAATGGGAAGGAGAACACCGAAGTCTCTATTCGATGCTTAATTACGCCCTCAAGAAAGCGAATCGCGAGGATCTTCGACCCTTTTTCAAGTATCTGAAACTGTTCTTGACTGCCCTGGCCAAACTACCATGTGTTCCACCGCTGACCGTCTGGCGAGGGGTAACCAAAAATTTGAGCGCGGATTTTCCGCCGGGCACCCCAGTAACATGGTGGGCATTTTCATCATGCACAACTGCACTGACCGTGCTCGAGAACAATATGTATTTAGGCAATAAAGGTGAGCGAACGCTCTTCTCCGTTGAAGCCATTAACGGTCGAACAGTACAAGCTCATTCGCATTTCGTTACCGAAGATGAAATTCTTCTTCTGCCCGGCACTTACATGGTGGTTCAATCACAATTCAGTCCGGCGCCCGATCTCCACATCATTCATTTGAAACAGATGATACCGGAGGAAATGCTGCTGGAGCCTCCATTCGAAGGTATTTTGAACACGTTCAATCGCTTGTTTTAAGCTGAAGTATTTCTATGCTTAGGTGCAAATCTTTTTCCGAAAATCAAGTAAGTCTAACTTCATCTTCATCTATCTGTGTTTCTGACGAGACTTTCCACCACATTTACAAGACGTCACTGGTTTCAAAAGAAGAGATTCATCATTCCAATCAGCGTACTGACAATTGTGCTTATCGTGGCAGTCATTGTCGGCTCTGTTTTGGGATCAAAATCTGCAGGTATGTTTTTTGATATTCCTTTTAGCTGGAAGGAGCGATAGCTCATGCCTGCAAGACCTGGCCATCTCATTTCACATGCGTTGAAAGACATTAAAATTCTTAGATTCACAAAGAGTATGCATATCTGTACGGCGTGGCCAGCTAACGGTTCGCCTTCGGAGGAGATAGTTCCAGTTTTTGTTTTAACTTGAGCAACACTTAAAAATACATCATTAGACACAGTTTTTCATGCTAATTACAAATATGGACTCAAAAACAAATGAACATAAAATCTTCATGGTGAAAATTTAAATTTAATTTCCTGACCTAGATATTTTTTCCAAAAATTCTGAAAACTATACCGTCGGATAGAGAATCAATTGTGTAGAATAAGGACACGTAAAAACGATAAGTACGACGAATGGAACAGCTTGTACTTTTTTTGTATTCAATGTAATTGATTTTTGAATAATGTTTCTGTCAGGTATTTATCACAGATACTATGCGTAAGGAAATCGTCTTGATTTAATTAATTCACATTGAAAAATAATATTTTTCCTAACGTTTAGCCACTAATAACAAATGCACAGTGGGCATTTTTCTATAGAGCAGGTGGACATATGTTGTAGGACTGGTATGAAAGCTTATAAACACATTTTCTATAGGTTTTCGAATATGCTGTTTCTAATGATGATTTTCAGAACTCAAAAGTAATTCCTTGTCGGTTTTCTGAAGACTGAATCTCTGGAAAACCCATAAAAAATATTTTTGCATCTCGAGAACCGCACTATTGGAAAGATCATATTCGAAAACCTATGAAAAATGTGTTTATAGACTTACGTACTATTACTAAAATAAATATCCGAATTCCAAAGCAAAATTTGCTGTGGACAAGCTTTCAACTATATAATTCAATTTGATCGAAAATATTTCTGCAGAAAAATTAAAAAGCTATATATCATTCGATGCAGTTTTTCGCGCTGATTCTTAATATGTATATTTTATATAGAAAAACATGATCTTTGGATGCAGAAAGCTTGTTTTATCCGCAAAAACCGAGAGGTTTTGAAAAATCTGTCTACGCTCCAGTTAAAGTTAGGCGACTGAAGGCTAATACCATAAATGCATGAGATTACGGAGCTCATTTTGGTAAAAGATGAAGGTTCTGTGAGCTTGGAAAACTTCGGAAAACTCTCTGTACTAAGCAAACCTTTTGGGAAAAGCGCTTTTTTCAGAAAAACGTTTAAATTATTCTAGCTCGAATGCGGAAGGAAAAATCTTTTTATAGCAATAGATAGCCCAAATTCTGTTGATTCCGAATATGTCCTTAGATTGAGATTGAAACTAAATCTATGCTGAGAAAATTGACCTTTTTCATATAGTTAGCGAATTATAGAGAGAATTTTTCATCTAACTTTTTTCCACGAAGAAACGACCTCAGACAAAAAGTTTTTTGCCATTAGATACCCCATTGGTTGAAGTATATACGACGATCTTCAAATCAAGAAAAAGTAAACTTCGCCTTTTTGACCAAATTTCCGCCTGGATGCCCACTGTGAAATGGTGCTAAGATTATAGAGTTATTGTTATATCGTATGTTTACAACAATTCGTTCTGACTTCAGAAGATAAACGATTTTCTACTCTACAAAACCCTCTATATCGCACACTTACACAGCGTCATTTGATTAGCCCTTCCCCTGCTTTTTTCAAAATCTCACGTTGGCAGAAAGCACTAATTAACTTGTGCACTAAAATATTTACAATTTAAGTGAAGAAACGGAAAAGCAGCGTAGTCTGGATGATAGTCCTCAATCCGCTGAACATTTTTATAGGATCCTCTTTTCTCAGTTACCATATTATTTCTCGAAAACTTACACAAAAATCAAAAAGCCATCAAAATTTTGATAGTAAATCGCAGTTATACTTTTTACGTGCCCTTACTCTACACAATCTCTGTAAATAATAAAATAATATATAATGAAAGAAAGTAATAGATTTTGCAGCTCAGGCAAGGTGAGAAAACCATGCTAAATAACAAAATTTGATTTCCAGTAAACGAGTTAATCATTAGGTGATTCCTAGCATCATTTAGTCTTGACGAATCTTGATAAAGATACAGCTTTTCACTCTGCGAAATATTCTGCATACAGCGATAATTCATATGCTATTTCGCCTCACACCATAATTTTCAATAGTCGAATAAGATATGAATGCACAGTGGAACTTTCTTAGAGACTTGCAAGCTAAAACTTGCTTCGTGTTGATGTAGCAGTAAAGAATTCAAACCTTTTATGGTTTAAAAAACGCATCTGGCGAGATTTCTACAGTTTCAACTTGTTGAATGACTCAGCAATAATTCGAACATGTTTTGAAACATAGAAAACCTAGATTATCTTATAGATTATATTGAGAAGTGAACTGGCCGACAATTGGAAGAATGTTTTGAAGAATCTTTGTGAGAATGTGAAGTGATATATACCCGCCCTAAACTCACATTTTCTCAAGCAGGTATTTTTGCGCGATTTTTGATAGACGACAGTAAAAATACTAATTCTTCACAAAAGATCGATAAACTCATTTTCATAGTAATAAAAGTCAGAAGACTAATGGAGTAATAGTCAAATAACAAGAGAAACCATAAAATAATAAATCGCACGAAAGCGACAAAGATCGACTTTTTCAAAGGAATGAATACTTAACGTACGGAGAATCAATTGTCGATAGATATGTTCGGGACTGCTCTAGACTTTATGGGATCGAAAACAAGATAATTTTTGGAGAATATGGCCGAATTGCCACGTGTCTCAGAAATTTTGATCCCATGAAAACATGGAAAAAGTTCACTTTCAAAAAAAAGTCAATCCCTGGCCCTGAAATCGCAGCTTGTCCTCATATTCATTCGAACGATAGCTTCCCTAATCGATGAACGAGATGTTGGAAACGAAAAATAGTCTTTTCTGCTTACGCTAATCACACGTGTGCAAACTCATTTAAGCCCAGGTCTGGGAACACATGGAGATCCATGAGTATCCATGTTAAATTTCCACGTTCGCGTCCAAAATAAATTAGCTTGACAAGCTACTATCCATTTCAAAAAAGAAGGCTGGAAAAGTGTTGAGACATAGGTAATAGAGTGTGATGATTATCGTGGCAATGTTTGTTTTGGGTTAAAATGAAAGTCGAGGTCGGTAGGAGCTTATTTCCCCAAAACCGAGTTTTTTGCTTATAGACCATAGAACTTCAAATTGACGTGATTCAGTCATTTTACATTCAAACTGGCTCGAATTTTCAG